AAAAAAAGAAATGGTTCACAGTATCTTCTGGCCTTAGAAAAAATGTGAAAGAGACCTTAGGAAGTCCTTGGTGCAGCCTCCTGTTCAGTGCAGGGTCAACTCTGAGATAAGAGCAGTTTAATCTCAGGAACATCCCTATGTCCTTGCAGCAAAACATCCTAGGGCATTCTGTTCCCATCTGCTTACCATCCACCCAAAAGATCATTCGACACGAATTAAAGGATGAGGAAGTCTGCTGCTCCTCTACTTCAGTAAACCTAGAAAGGTCCACAAAGTTTATACATGGTAGGCATGAAAGAATTGAAGAGTGAACCACAGACAAAAGGAAACAACAACAATAAGCACTGTAGGAAGAGCACAAAACTCACGTAATACCAAATCAGGCACCATCTGCAAGCCTCAGGCATTCTGAGAAAGATGAAACTGTATTTATTTTCAAGAAAACATAGCCCATCCAGACTGGTAGGCTGAGATCTGGTTCTTCTTTGTATCCAAAGCAGCAGTACAAAAACTTGTTTTGGTCCTGGAGTACCAAGCAACACACCACTGAGAAACACAGTTCAGAGCCTGTTCTCTGATGCTTGGTAGGTCTCAGTGATGGCCACATGGATAACACACACATCCCAAGGACACACTGCACAGAGACAAAACAACTGCTTTATCCTGAAAAAAGGGCATCAGAAGTGATAGTGTAGTGAAAACAAAACCAGTAAAACCAACAAAACCAACCTTCAAATGCTTTTACGCAAATCTCATTTCTGAGACTTTCAGAGCTGCCCAGCTTCAGATTTCACATACAAGCAGAAACAGTTTACACACCCTGCACATTGATTTTCTCCTCTCAGAACAATGTAATGTCAACTGTATTTGGAACACTAACACTGAATACTGTAGGACAGCAGTGCTTAGCTTAGCTCAGCCTGCCATCAGACGCTTGCACAGGACAAACAAGCACAGCTTTCAAATCAACTATCTCTAAGGTTTAGCAGCACTGCCTCAGAGAGATGAATTATCCATATTAAGCCAGCATTTTCTTATCCCTACATAGAAGGTGCTCTGTGAACAACACCAGCAGATCCTGCAGGCATGATCCTATCCTGTCCTTAACAGTCTCCTAAAAGGACTCCAGGGTGCACAAAGAACTCAGCCTTTCATGGCATCTGACCTCTTCAGTAATTATAGCTTTGCAGTCTACAAAAGAGACTCAACAGTACAGTCTGTTTTTTTTCATGGATAAAGAAGCGGAGTTTTTTAACCGCTGATTACTGATAATCTGGTAATTTCTTTACATCTTCTGAACAATCTCGCATAACAAGTTTTAATCCATACTCACCAGTAGTACCATTGGCCTCTTCCATGTCGTCAGCCCTATGATTCCAGATAAGATTACCTGCAACATTAAGAAAACAGCATTACCAAGAAGGGAACTACTCTTCAGAAAACACCATTTACGCAGTATTTGCCACTGCTCTGATGGAAAGTATTTTGGAGTGTGAGAGCAGCGCTGAGATGATGCGGGGCACACTCTATAGCAGATACTCAGAGCCTGTGTTGACGAGGTTCTTCACTCCGAAGAGCACCCCATAGGAAAACACAACTGGAACTGGAATTTTTATCTACTGTTTTGCTTCCTCCCAGAAAATAACCAGAAAGTCACACCAGCAATTCCCATCTCATCAACTGCCAAAAAAAATTAATTTCAACCAAGGATGTGTTTTCCTGCTACCCAGCCAGAGTGCTAGCATGCACACAAGGAAAGAGAAAGCAGAAGCATCCCCTCCGCAGCAGGCGCTGTTAATCAGACCTGTTGAACCATAGACTGTCCCCAGTGACTTCATTGGGGAGCAAGACAGTTAAGGAAGGAGAAAGCACTGCTGTAGAACTGAAGCAAACCACACACCCAAAGACTCCTCACCGGACAAATGGGAACCAAAAGGAAAGGTAAACCTATTTTTCAGCTGCAAGCAGGAATTACCCTTAGTTTTGGGGGCCTTTGTGACTAAGCCAACTCAGCCTGCGCTCACACCTCAAAGCCAAGCAGGAACACAAAGGGGAAGCTGCCCACTAACATTTTTAACAAATCCCTCCAACCGCTTCATTAACCTGACATGACTGATCTGACCTAGCATAACAGGCATACATGACTCGGCCAAAACACCTCCTGGTATCACCACTGCTGTTGCAAAAGCACATACATAACGCTGCCGTTTCATAACAAACATTTTTCAATTCTCTGAGGGCTAAAGAGACACGTGGTTTTACAACAAAGCGCACAAATACTTATACGAATTGGTGCTTTCCCGTAGGGACACCAACGCTGCTTTCACTACGATTAAGATTTAAGGCGTACGGAAGGAATGCCTTCCTCAGAGTGCCTTTCATCAGTGCATCACAAGAAGGACGCGGCACCTCAAGTAAGAAAAAAGCACATACCCACCGCCAGCCCTCAGCTGCCTCTAGCATCCAGCGCTGCTTCTGGCTGAGACGTTTCACTCATGCTGCTATGCTCAAAAGACACTTCTGGTAATTTTTTTTTAAGACCGAATATGTTATCTTTTCACAGCCAGCACGAAAAATTAGATCTCTCTCTTTTTTTTTTTTCATTATTAAAGTAGTTGGGCATTTCCAGCTTACACGTGCAGCTTTAGAACATTTTGAAAGCGTAAGCATGGCACTGCGCGCGCGGTTACAAGAAAGCTCGCAGCTGCCAGAGATCCAAATAAACTCTGATTTGGAGCGAGAAAGAAAAAAGCGAAAGAAAACAGAAGATATAAGAGAAACGCCAGCGCAGACACCACGCCGCCATCCGGGCGGCTCGGGCTCCAGCCCGGTTAAGGCTGGGTACGCGCTCCGGACGCGCCGCCCGGCTCCCAGCCGCACGCCGCTCCGGGCTGCGCTGCGCTGCGCGGCGGACTGACCCGAAGCGCGGGGCTTCGCTCCGCCGCTCGGACAGCGGCTGCTGCCCGCGCCCCACGCGCGAAAGCGCAGCCTACAGCAGAACGCGACAGGACAGGGAAATCCCGGCGCTCCTTACGCAGCCGCCAGAAGCGAGTCCGGTGCCCGAGCACGCGCCCAGGCGCGAGCGCGCACCGCACACGAGTCCCGTCCCGCCGCCCGGTGCGGGGCACGTACCGAGGAGCCGGCCCAGAAGGGACACGCGTTCTTCACCTGCGGGGCGCCGCTCAGCGACAGCGCCCCGAAGCTGAGCGCCACCATGCAGCAGCCCAGCACCAGCTGCAGCAGCCCCAGCGACAGCAGCGGCCGCGACGGCAGCAGCCCGGCGCCCGGGGCGCGGCGGGCGGGCGAGGAGCGGGCGGCGGGGCGCGGCCGCGGGCAGCCGACGCGACGGGAGCGCAGCGGCGGCAGCGAGGGCTCGGCGGCCGCGGCGGGCAGCGAGCCCGGCGGCTGAGTCGCGGAGCCGGCTGCCGGCGACCCGGGGGAGAGCCCCGGGACGGGGCAGCAGGAGCCCGGCAGCACCACCGGCAGCGACATGAGGGACCGCCGCCGGCTGGGCCTCGTCTGCCCTCCGTCGCCCCTGTGCCAGCCCACCCGGGTGCCGACTTCCTGTGGCTCTGCTCTGCCCTCCCCGCCCCGCCCGGGAGGTGCCTCTGGGGACGGGCCCTGCGGCGGCCCCGCCGCTCCCCGCCCCGGCGCGGGGGCTGGCGCCCGACGCCCCCCGGCCGCGCCCCGCCGCGCGCCCCCCTCCGGTTCCCGCGGCCATCGCCGTGCCCCGGCCGCCCCTCGGCCCCCTTCCCTCCCGCGGCACCGCGCCCCTTCTCCCTTGGTCACTGCTGTGCCGCGGTGGGTCCCGAGTTCTAAAATAACTGCTCCGGGAGGAGGCGGGAAGCCGCCGGGTTGCGTTTCACGGTGCTGGCGGGCTTCCCGGCCCGAGGGGATCGAGCTGCTGTGTGAGCAGGGGGTGCTGAGGGGCGCCCGGGCCGCGGGGCTCCCTCTGTCCCCTGTGCCCTCCCCTCCTGGGGTAAAAAGGGCTGCTGCGACGGTGCCTTGTCCCTGTGCCTGTCCACTTGTTGCAATGTTCAGGAAAGGAAGCTCAGGCATTTAATTCAGTTGTGAGTGCTGCACTTTTTCATCAGCGTGTGTGGTTTTGTACCTGCGGGGCTTGTCTGGACATGAACTGAAAAAGTAGAAGATCTCAGATACAAAAAAAAAATAATAATAATAATTAATAAATACAGCTTTTAGAACCGTAGGAAAATTAGCTGTGTTAAAGGCATTTAGACACATGCCACATACGTTTTAGCAGTGGGTAAGGTCTGATGCAAAGAAAGGAAAACCTTGGGTGCTATAAGTAATGCTTTGGAATGAAATACTCTGTGCATTTCTGCTGACTTGCTACATGAAGTTTCAGGATTTATAGGACTCCTTACCCAGAAGCATCTCTTGCCAGCCAAAGCCATCCTCTTGCATTAAAGACACCACAGACCAATTTATGTGCCAGGGTTTATGGACCAATGGCCAGAGCAGCAGAATTTAATGCCCTAGTGGTTAGCAGGCTGCCCAAATACTGCTGCCATCTGTGCTGCATGATTGTGCCCCCTAACTCAAGTAATTGATTAGTAAACTTGCAACTTCAGCCATCTCTGTGAGGCTAAAGGCTGTTGTAGAACTGATTTGCTGCTCTCTTCATGGCTGTAAGATTTTGCCTTTTGTGTGGTTAAAACAAAACAGATTTACAGATACTGTAAATATGCTGAAAGATACCAAGCCCCTGGAAAATGCTGTGCCTGTGTATTTCTGGGCTGCAGAGTAGATGCCCCAGTGTTACATGTCAAATACACAAAGCAGAGCCAAAGTTAGAGTGCTGCGTCAGAAGTCATGTTTCAGCCCTATCCAGCTAGCATCTTGCTTAGAAAAAATAAAAGCAGGATATCTGCACTTCATCTGGTGGATGGAATCTTCTAAGATCTTCCAAGCCTTGCCATTCTCTTACACTTTGAGCATAATTTTCTTTTTGCTTTTCTTAACTACGGGCTGAGAAAGGCACTTAGGACAAAAAGTTCCTTCTTTTGTCTAAAGCAGCAAGTTGTAATTTCGTGTCTCAAAAATGCAAACATACAAAGTTCTCATTCATCTGACAAGCTCTCTGCCATTTGGATGTGCCTTTCTCTGTAGAGTTTTACTGTTGTCTTAAGCTGGGAAACTGAAAAGACCATCTAGATCCTTTTCCATCATGCTTCATGCTGCTCCATTTGCCGACAGTTCCAAAGAAGAGAATCTTCTTTGAACCAAAGCAGACACATTCTGCATGGTGGCCATATCTTTAACTCAAATCAAGAATACCCAAGGTAATTTCTGAGACATGGGGCAGTACACATAGCTGATTGCTGCAGCAGGTGGATCCAAACACTTCCGATAGGCAGGCAAGGGAGAGAGGAATGGGGTTGCCCTCTGTTTGAAGGATTAGCTCAGTTCCATGGGACTTCTCCATGGGATCAACCACTGACTGGTGGTGTGCTCAGAGCATGTCGCTGCTGATCCGGATGAGGAAATGGGTGATACCTCTGAAGGAACTCTCAGTATCTAAAACCTCCATCCTCACTCAGGAGAGGGGTGTCCCAGCGTTATGGCAGGACACCAGCTATCCAAGAGACATCCCAGGAGTGTCACAGATGAGCTCTGCTTATACAAGTACTGGGTGGGCCAAGCAGAGAGTGGATCACCCAGACTGAAGGCTCTAAATTAGCACACTTGTGGCAGACTGAACAAGGTATGCCTCCGAAAGAAAGCAAAAGCAAACCAAACAGATACTTATTTTCTGGAATCTCTGAGAAGTCATTCATCACGCTGGTAATTAGGCTGGCTAATTACCCACATTCTCATTACTACTTACCATCCTGCCAGTCTTTGAAAATATACGTATTGTGCTTCACAAGACACTAGGAGTCCTTTGTCCAAATACACCAAAACAGGGTGCTTTGCAAGCACAGCCTGAGATCTGCAGCCCTACCTCATTCGTTAAACAAAGAGAAAAGAAAGAAGTTGTCAGGAAGAGCTACTCTGCAAACAGACTTTCTGCATCCATGAGGTGTTAGCTGTAACAGAAAGAGAAAGAAGAACTTATTCCAGAACTGCGTGAGAAGTTGGGTCAGTTGAACCTTTGTGTCCTGATCTCTCCTTTTTCTGCTAACAGAGTCACCTTGATCCCTCTGTCGTGCACGCTCAAATAGCAGTGCTGGGCTAAAAATAGTAGGCAGCTTTTCTTTCTTGTCCCAGAGAGGACTCTGTTGTGTCCCTATGCTCTGCAGAGGCAGGGGTACTCCTGCCACGCACCCCATGATTTCCCACTCAATCTAGGCTTGGGGGCTTCAGCACAGTACTGGAACTTCTTTCCTCTTGCACCAACAAAGCATTTCAGTGTCCTTTGTCATCTGCACCTTCCATTTGTTCAATTCTTTCTTCAGGATAGTGAGGTAGAATGTGACAAATGAGGGCGCAATTAGAAGAATCCGAACAGTTTGGGGATTTTTTCCTGTTCTATTTTTATTAATTCCAATATTGTTTGCTTGTATGATGCATCAGATGCAAACTTCTGCATCATCAGGACTTTTGTATTATGGAAAAAGAAAAAAAGGTAATAAGCTTGAGGAAACAGCAGGTCCTTATCAAAAACACCATATCCAGGCTCTCACTGATTTCATTGCAGCTGTTGCTGCAGAAGTGATTTAGTACTAGGTGAGATATGATCTCTGTCCAAATATTTCTCTGAGCAATTGTCTCCAGAGAACAAATGTTACGCAGTGCCACAGTTCAGATGAGAAAGACACATTACTACCATAAAATTAAGGACATTTTCAGGATTTCTGTGAGAGCAGATGGATGTTCTGTGCTGAAAGAAATTCTAATAGATATCAGTTATTGATTATTCTTAAGTACTGATAACCCTAAGCTGCACCATAAAACTGATTTGTTAATGACTGGTAAGGAAGATGTCTTGGCATTGTTTTATTGAGAGAATATTGTTCAAGCTTTATTTAACAGAGCAAAAATATGTGTAGTTTTAATTACTGTATGAGGAATGTTTTTCTCCTTTGTGAGGAAGTTCTGGCAGTCATGCTGATGTAAGAGTGACTACATGTCAAACCTCATGGATAATATTCACTACTTGTCTGTTCAGCATCCTAAGTAAAACCTACACTTAAGAAAACAAAAGCAAAGTTAAGATCCTGCTCCAAAGAGTTCACAGTGCAATTCAGATACCAGCAGTGAGTTTTTTTAACTAGTGGTTTCCAGAGTACACCGAAGAAAAGGTTATAGTGGAAATGTGTAATTCATGTATATTTGATATAGCATGCAAAACTATCAATGTGTGCAAAGTCAAAGGTACTTGTGACAGCCTTGAGATGTTTTATGAGCTCAAGTTGCCTCTGAAACTTTGGTGAGCTGGACAATCAGTGAGCTGTTTACATAGAGACCTAGAAAAAAAAAAGTTAACCTGAAGAACTGATTAATGGAGGGCTTCCTCTCTGCTGGGAATTTAAAAATATGAAGTTTTAAAATACTTTATATGGATTTTATCAACTTAATTTAAGCATAGCATATGCTTGGAGTTTCTCATGTAGATGGAGCAGTTTGTAGCAAATCCACACTTTAAAATAGCAGTAGATGAGGAAGGAAAACAGTCATCTTGTGGAAGTGAAGCACAGACTCACATAAGTTCTAACCACATAGGGATAAAAACAAGGCAGTTATTCTTCTGGTTCCCCCACTGGGAGCAAGTAACCTTCTCTTCCTGCTGATAATCACAGAATCACAGAATGGCCAAGGTTGGAAGGGACCTCAAGGACCATGAATCTCCAACCCCCCTGCCACATGCAAGGCCATCAACCTCCACATTTAATACCAGACCAGGCTGCCAGGGCCCCATCCAGTCTGGCCTTGAGCAAAGCTAAGGACAGGGCATCCACAACCTCTCTGGGCAGCCTATTCCAGCACCTCACCACTCTCTCTGTAAAGAACTTCCCCCTGACATCCAACCTAAATCTTCCCTCCCTCAACTTAGAACTGTTTCCCCTTGTCCTGCTGTTATCAACCCTGTCTTCGTAGGGGAGGTGCTCCAGTCCCCTGATCATCTTTGTATAATGTTTTAGTCCTTTTGTTTGGGAGAGCAGGATAAGGCCATTGGTACTGTTTGTGTTTGTCTGAGTGCTCTGTGTGTCTGTCTGCACTATCTGTGTTGCTGGTCACATCTAAAGATACTGAAGAGTAAAAGAGGGTTCACAGAAACAAAGGGTAGAAGATAGTTTACAGAAGCAAATATGCAGAGCTGCTAGAAGAATGCGGGTTGCAACAAGCTGGGATTAGAACAATGTGGGGTTGGAGGACGAAGATAAAAGTTTTGAGAACAGCTCGAGGACATTTGGTAAGTCAGTGATAAGATGTCCACAAGGCAAGTTAGAACTGGGTCGGGGGCTGCCCTTCCTGCAGGGTCAAGAGTTTACAGCAAGGAAGACTGCAAGACTCCATGAGGAAGACAATGATTCTTCATCCCACGATCACCAGGAGGAGACCCCCACGAGAGGGACCGCATGCTAATTGATTCTCAGAAATCTAATGAAAAGGTATCCAAATT